TCGTATGTGTTGCCAAGAAAGACGGAAGTATGCGTTTATGTATTGATTTCAGGTTGTTGAATCAAGTAACCAAGCCTGTTGATTTTCCAATGGAGAATGTGACTCATCTAATCAATAAAATTGGACACGCGAATGTTATCACCTGTTTAGATGTCTTGAAAGGTTACTGGGAAATACCTTTAGAAGAAGAAAGTCGTGATTTAACATCATTCAAGACACATCGTTCCCAATATCGTTGGAAAGTGATGCCTTTGGATTAAAAAATGCAGCTTCTACTTTTCAGCGAGTGATGAATGATGCCTTAAGAAAACATAGTGATTTTTGCAAAGCATATATTGATGATATTGCTATCTTTTCACCAGATTGGAATTCGCATCTCTTCATTCAAACATTTAGATGCTGTGCTAACTACATTAAGTGATCTCAGGTTTACGGTGAACGTGAAAGAAATGTGTTTTTGCACGTTCGGAGATAAAGTATTTAGGACATATAATAGGAGCTGGAAGACATCAACCTGATCCTGAAAAATTACAAGCCATTGAAATTATAAAAAGTCCTAAAACAAAGACTGCTCTAAAGAGTGCATTAGGCTTATTCAACTATTATCGTGATTACATAAAGAATTATGCAGAAATAGCTCGCCCATTGACGGAGCTTACAAAAAAGAAAATTCCTGAGAGAATTCCATGGACTGATGTTGAGGAATCAGCATTTAAAGAACTGAAACGTCGACTGTGTGAAGCACCAAAAAACTGTACACTCCAGAACCAAGAAAAACCTTACACCATACAGTGTGATGCTAGTTCATATGGTGTTGGTGCTTGCTTGTCACAACGAGACAGCAAAGGCAGTTTGCATCCTATCAGCTTTGCCAGTCAAAAACTTTCGAAAACTCAGCAGAACTGGTCAACTATTGAACGCGAGGCTTATGCCGTTGTGTGGTCATTAAAAAGTTCGAGTGTTGGGTGTTTGGATCGAATATCGAGCTGATCACAGACCATAATCCATTATTATATTTGTATAAGTCGGCACCGCATTCAGCCAAATTACAGAGGTGGGCAATGGCACTTCAGCGCTATAATATTCATATTTATCATTGCCCTGGTGAACAATTAAAAAATGCAGATGGTCTTTCAAGACTAGTGGGTGAATGAAATAGTTGTGAAACTAAGTATGAACTAATATGTTTTAAAACTTTGCATTAGTTACTTTCTTTTGTTCCGGAATTGTACGAGAGCTACTTTCCATCTGTTTTGAAAATCAAATTACTGGTTTCCATTTAATATTGCATTATAATAGTGTGTTTTGAAATAGTATTGCATATATGTTTTATTACAGAACTCCGGTATTGTATCAAGCCATCTGTTCATCTGTTGTGAGATGAATGTTTATTGCACTTTATTTTAAAGTACGTTATTACATGTCATGTATACATGTTCATATATTTTGAATTAGGCATTTGTATTATGTTTGTAAAAGTGTTTATATATGTCATTTAAGACTTAATTTTTTATTTCAATGTAACAGGATTTAAATATTAATAAGTGTATTAATTATTAAGCATTGGTATGGGGAGTTAAATTTAAGTTTGTATTTGCTGGTTCAGTTTTCAGATTCTGCTTCGCTTTGGCGTAGCACAATCTTACCGGGGGGGGGTGTCATGTATCTGGCAGCGGTGAAGCCAGCAATCAGCTGCCTGGCAGAGCCCAGCAAGTGAAAGAGAGGCCAGTTGCATGTTAGCCTCAGAGGAGGCAGGTTGTAGGTTAATTATGTTGTAGGAGCGAGGTTGTAGGTTAATTATGTTGTAGGACCGAGTTTGCCTTTATTCTTTAAATGTTAATTTTTTTTTCATTATTCTTTGAAAGGTAAATTTTAATAAATGTTGGTGTCGTTTGCCTCATGGTGCCTTATTAATCCGCAAGGTCATTACACGCACATTCTGTATTAATGAATTCAAGTCAAGTTATTATGAATGTAATTATATGTTACTTTGGTTAACTAAGAATACCACAACTGAAAATGTATTTTCACAAAAAATACATATTTTTAATCACTAACTTGAATCCATGACCATATAATTTTAACGGACGATATTTACTACTTGGAATCTCTTTAATTAAATTCTGTTAGATATTTCTCTTCAAACATACTTTTAACATGTCACTGTATTTCAGCTGCAGAATAAACTGAAGCTCATCAGTTGCAAATATTAGCGTATTTTAAAACATAGAATTTTTCAATGGCCTGCTTGGATTAGAGTTCTATTTCTAAAAATACACTATTCTACACAGAAAATGAAACATCGTGAAAATATACTTCGAATGAGAAGAAATTTCACTCAGAAATTTACTTCAGTATTTTCTGAAACAATGACTTTAATTTTAAAAGATTATCCTTCATTGGCAATCGAATTCGCAAAATAGTCTGAAACAGCAGCAGTGAATTTTTAGCGAATGAAATTAGGCGCGGATTTAATTCATTAAGTATTCAAATTCTGACTCTAGAGTACTGCAGATCATGTGATTTTGACCCCAAATCCTAATTTATATTTGCGAAAGGTTGAAAATCGCAAACTATTGACATATGGCAAAAATGCCATTTGAAATGCAATAATATAAGGCAATTAAAAGAGTTGCGGCATTTCATAAGCAAATTACCTTGCTGTCATTGCATTTATTGTGAATACTAGAAGTAGCAGATAGGCTTTGATGTTGCTAGCACTCTAGTACCTCATTTTATACTGAAGAGCCAAGTGACGTTCACTAAAGACAGAAGTAAAATCCTCTCTAGCTCGGTGATTTGTTAACTGGAGTTTCCAACAATAATCAGTCTTTAATCGATGTCCATCATTGGTAATACAGCATCAAGGTGCCATATTGATAAATTATGCTGTGTTATATGCCATCTGCGACATCATTTTAAGTGTTTAAGAAACGTAAACAACTTTGCAAAGAACAGCTTCATTGCAGATCTACTTATTTAATCGATAATAAACTATTTGTGCTAATATTTTATCAATAATACGATTCCATATAATCTGTAGAATTTTCAGCTGTAAATTGAGGGCCGCTAAAGTTATATTTTCTTCTGTATTCCCTCCGTAAAACCTATGACTAAACCTCTAATACGTACCTTTGATAAAAACACTCAGGATGTCATCCCCTAATTTTTAACTTGACCAAAAAACACAGTGAAATCATTTCCTGTCTTTGAGAATATTTTAAAAGTTAATTTATCAAACTTGCAGATCACGTGATTGACGTAAACATTTAACAGTTGGCACAAACGCCGTTAACCTAAATATATTTGAAATTTATGCAAAGCTGCGACAAAACTTTCATTATACTGCATTTATTTTTTTTAGGGAAGGTGAGCATCTACGCCACATGCACAAAAAAAAAAAAAAAAAAAAAAAAAAAAAACTTGATTGATGAGACTGAAAAGAGATCTTGTTTCTTCTAACGATAAAGATGTTTATAAAACAGCATGATGGTTCTTGAGATTCAGATATGTTAGTAAAATAGCATGATTTTCTCATATTAACACTGAACTTTCTGGTAATTTCAGGTTGAATTTATTATAATGGATTTTAAAGTTTACATCAAAATTTGATTTCTAAAGCCTTCTTACGAGTCAAACAACCCATTAGTGGGTCGTATTGCACCTTAAGCCACAGTTTGGTTGTAAAATTATAGATTTCGCTTTGGGACTGTCCTTGTAGAGTCAACAAGGACTTCAAACATAGTATGATTCAGAGGTCTAACGCATAAAGGTAATCTTACTGTGTCCCATTAAAAGCAAACATATTGCTTCTTTTTCATCACTTCAATCTTCTCTTCTTAGATTGTTTGCCACTTCTGTCGGTTTCGTAGGCCTTTATTTTTTTATCATAAATTCTGTATTTAAGACTCAAATTACACAATTAAAAGGAAATGAGTATTTGTGAATTATGCTTCATTTTCTAAAAAAAAAAAAAAAAAAAAAAAAAACATATATATTTTAATTTGAAAAATTGTTTAAAAGTTCTATTATATTTTAATCCTTATAATCGCTGGAAGCAGGATATTTATGCTGAGTTTTTAAACATAAGCTTTAAATTCATTTTCAGCGTTCTGCTAACGAAGTAATAAAGCATTTTCCTCAACGATTGCGCTCGGTGTGATCTCCAGAAATGTTAGTATCGGACCATCTATAACACTCACTCAGTAGACTATGGCAAACAAAATGTTTTTGGTACAAAGGGTTAAGAGATTATCCTTACAAAGGCAAACTGGTAAGCTCCAAAAAGAGGTAAAAACGAAAACAAAACTACAGTGCACACATTCCCACAAAACAAAACAAAAATCACTGTATATCGAATGAAGGAAAAGAGCTGATAAAGTGGAATAGTCATTACCCAAAGGAAACGTGTTTGACTCTGACTACAGGGTTAATGCGATTCTGTGGCAAATGGCAGCCATTCTGGATCCTTAAGCACTGGCCGAAATGACACTGTAGGTGGTTCCTGGTAATTCCTTTGAGGCTCAAGCATCGCTGAAGTATTTGGAATAAGGAGTTTAGATTACAGCATTTCTGAGACAGCCTATACTTTGGAAACACGAGCCTCATTTTTACTTTTGTGAACAGAACATAAAGCATTCGCTCTAAAAATAACCCTCTAACAAAAACTGCAGGTGTTATCTGAGAAGGAATTTCCTTCTATTTTACTGTACTCTGCAAAGTTGACATAATTTTCGCTTTATTATTCGAATTTTGAATCTGCATATAATTGTTTTGATTCCTCTGCATATTCACTTATAATAATCAAAATATATGTGGCTAGGCCTCAAATGAATTGTGAGGAATTTAGATGATTCTAACTATATTACTTTCCCTAACTATATTATTGGAAATAACTTAAGTATAGCTAAGAAAGTATCTTATGTCTACTACCTTTCAGGTTATAGTATAATATTGTTTTATATTTTTCATTATACTTTTCATACATTTAAGCATTTTACCTTTATTAGATCAGATTCCTTCAGAGGATTTTGGTTCAGATTTCATTAATGAGGTCCACATTACGAAACAGTGATGTTTGACTTTTTTTTATGTCTTCCAACTGAAAGTGATATTCATAATGAATGGCTAAAATAAATAAATATATACGTTACAATATATTTTTCAACAAGCACAATTATATTTTTCAACAATCACATGCAAATTTCATTTATATCAAAAAAATGGAAGGTTCTCAAATATCATTAAAAAAACACGCAGATTAAAAAAAACGGGTGTCACACTAAAAAGAAGTGATTATAGGAAGAATTTCTTTTGTACTGGATCACTGATTACAAATATAGAATGTATTTTCATACCAACATACCTCTCCACATTAAGAAAATGGTATCTTTATGCGTGGATAGGATTTATGAAAATAGAGTTGCTAATTATTTTCGTTCATTTTTGATTATTTAATATAGGTTTCGTCGTGATTTAATGAAGTAAAAACGAAAGCCTTGATATTATTATAAACAGAAGCTCTACAAAATTCTGAAAAATAAAAATAATAGTCGACTATACGAGCGTTTCTATTTAGTTACTTCTTTTAAGATATAGCGAAAAGATTACTAATCAGAATATGGAGTTGCGAGTCATTTTAAGTAAGAAAATTTTTTTAAAGTAATTCCTATTTTATTACTATCAAATTTTTTTTGGTGTATGTGAGCATGGAAAAGAGAATAAAATTCTGTCGAAAGAACTATGGTTTGTACCTATTTTAAAGTTACGTACTTAATTCCTTTCCTAGAATTAAATATGTCAGCCAGTATGTCAATTATATCTTTAAATACATAAAGACTAAAATATTTTACATTATCTAATTTTATTTAAAGTAACTGTCGGAAACAATCAGTTACAATGCCTAGTACCATAAGTACTGTACAAATTTTAATTTCGCGATTTTGATACTGAGATTGTTTTGGTTAAAGGGGAGAACAGTCAGCTGCGTAGTTAACTTTTTACCAATTTTTATTCCTTCTAAAATATTTTATAGAGAAATTAATGAATAAAATATCGTAAATATTAATCTGAAGTGCAAAATTTTATAATTTCATATTTTTTTTTTTTTTTTCATTTTGAATCCTTTCAGGGTACTTTTCCGTTTTGCCGGCGCAGGCGATAAAATCGCCAATAATGGTACAACTGATGCCAAACGTAATATCCTCGCTGGTAACCTTTTACACCTCATTTTCAAAATAAGTCGCAGCCATTTCTTATCAGATTGATTGTTTCTTTCAATATTGGCATATAATTACATAGAATGTTTACTAGATAGTTCAATTTTATGCCCTAAGGCCACTCGCGGTATTAAGTCAATTAAGATGTCATCACACCGCTCACCCGGAGGCAAAAATATAGAAAAGGCAATGTCAAGGGTTAAATTCATCAATTCTAATGAGAATGCACTGCGAAATAAAGCACTGCGGTTTTACGTAAGCTATTCGTACGAATTGAAGTAATTCTTTCATTTAAACTTGTATTACAAATTGAGATTTAACTTGAAATTAATGTAGATAATTACTGAGAGAATTAGATTTTTGTAGCGTAGTTTACGTGAGATGAGATGACTTGGGGTAACGTGATACGAACCGGCGAATCAGGATGTTGAACTATGAAAGCATAGTAAATTCTTGAACTAATATTATTTTACAAATTTATTGGCTTTTTACAAAATTTTAAACGATATTAAAATGCTTATGCTTTCAAAATTAAAAATTCTCAGAACTAACATTTGTTAAAATTTTTTATGGGAATACTGTATGTTGTTGTCAGTAAAGTCTGCTTGGCGAGATTTGCGCCGGCGAAACGAAAAAGTACCCAGGGTAACTCTTAATGATTATATTGTGAATGTTTCAGTTTATAATCAATATAAATTTTCTATTAAATAAGATGCATAAAGTTTACTTTTAAACCAGCTGCTAAAAACATTTTCAACGTGTCAACGTAGATAATAATTCTATATTTTAATGCAATTAACCTAAATTTGTTAAATTATCGAAAAGACTGCCACAAACGCAAAGCAGGCTCATACACGTAAAAGAAAAATAGGCAGATAGCCCTTGAACTCTTTGCCTAGTCAAATAAATAAAACCCAGCTGAATAACAACCGAATTTATATTTTGATACGTCACTATTGTATAGAGGTTTTATTACTACTATTGTAGTACTTCCCTGTAACCTGAAATTTGTCCCCAAAAGGCCTTGTGATGAAAATTCTTGAATAAATCTCGCAATGTGCGATCTTGATATTAAATTTACTCGTCTTGGCTCTCGGAGCTGTATTTATACAGTGTAGCACGGCCTTCTGGAAGCTTCGGGTAAAAATCGATCGTAGGGCTCCGAAAAGACGTTTTCCCGAATCATCCCAAATTTTGTGATACTGTGGGGAGAAATCGCCAAATTTAACAAAGCTGGTGACAAAAATTTTCATTAAAACCCATCAGGAGCATATTTGTCTATATCTCGCGTTCTACTTGCGCTATTATTAGTTTAAAAGCTGTTGAACTCGGAATAGAAAAATCTATAATTCTATATAAGAAATAAATATTTATGTACAAAACGTCTTATCACTGCCATTATGTAGGAAATAAACCTTAAAATTATCACCCCATAAGCAATAAATAAAACAATGCTCAATAAGTTAACGGTACATAAAAGCAAAATAAAGCACATCATGCATGTAAATTCTACATCCATCTACATAATGTGTAAAAATTATTTGCTTTTCTTCTCTAAATCAGGTGTAAGGGTTTACAGATTATTTATAACAAATAAAATCATGAATTAATAAGTAACCCCGTCCTATATTCATAACAAACAACTTTTTGGAAGCTGCTACTTTTTCTTTTGTGATCATTTCTCTTATATGTAACAAATATCTTTGCTCAAGAGTTACTGTTACCGCTAATTAAAATATAATCAATGAGTTGCTGCGAGCTACTTATTCGTGAATGCTTGTTTAAATAATCACTCCAGACAAGCAGAAGAAATTGACAATTTATTATAAATAAAACACAGAAAAATAAACAGATATATTCAAATATTATAATCTAACTTCAGAACTAATTAACAAGTAATATTTCCTATCTCTCGAAGCTGTATGCTTATTGTGTTGCACAAGTTTCTGAAAGCTTCTAGAAAACTCGATTCTAGTGCTTCGAAAATATGTTTTTCTAGAACTTTCAGTAAGTCGCCAAATTGCCTAAAATCGGCAAATTTCCCCAACTTCGTCAAATTTTCCCAGCAAACAGCTTGTCGCTAAAGCCCATTAGAAGCCAATTTTTTCCCACTTATGCGGAGTTCTAGTTGAGATATTTTAACAATTTAAACGACTTCGAAATCAGAAGTAAAAGATCCACAATCTTATGCAAGAAATAAATACATACACACAAAAGATATTGACACAAATTCAGTTATACGCAAAATATACCCTACAACTATTACCCAAAACGTAGAAATTAAATAACTAAGTATGAGGTACTTCTCCCGCCTTTCCCTAGCATGCCTTCGTGGTGTAGTGGATTTGCATGCTAGTCCTGTATTCCAGAAGTCCGTGATTCGATTCCCGGCGAAGACGATTACTCATTTTTCATCTTGCCTGCTTCCAAAAAACACCTAATGTCTCTACATAAGTACATTAAAAAATACACAATAAGATAAAAAAATGTTTAAAAAGTAATGCAAGCAAAAGAATTCAAATATTTACAGAAATTTACATTAATGTTCCGTGATACACGTTCATAAATGAATATCTATAAAGTATTACAAATTATTCAGTTGACATAATTTTCGTAGAATACTATATTTTACGAGTATATAATTACTTATGAGATAAAATTAAAATTCTCATACATTGTCATGCATCCATTGAAATATTCATATAAATGGGGATTTATTTAATAAGCGAAATTCGGCATTTTTTAAATTTATTTATTCGAAGTTGTAGGGAATCTTATATTAATAAACCAGTTATTAATAATTCAGGGCTTTATTATAACTTTTCCTTTTCGTATTCCTCACTAGAATGCAAATGAGTAATTAGATGTTAAATTGAGGTCTTTGGTTTTGGGACACAAACTGTTTCTGGCATCGCGTGCGCGTGACGTTGTTAGTTTTCTGACAGTTCTGAAAGTTGTAATTATTGCCGGCACTTTATTTCTGAAACTCCGGTAGAGGTTGTAAGCCAGCTTCTAGTAGTATTTAATTGTGTACTCCTTGACTACTAGTCAGTGTTCGATTTTATTTGGATTGCTTTATTTTATGTTTCATCATCACAACGAGTTGTAGAAATTGTAGCACAAGAGAGTGCCCTTAATTTAATCTTTTCAAGCCTTTTTTCTGAGATACATCGATAATTTGCTTTACGTCTGTTAGGGTTATTAGATTAAAATATCATTACCATATCAAATGTAACCCTATAAAGTATTTAAAAAAGTTTGAGTAATTAAATAATGATTCATTACCTGATGTCATTACCTGATGGTGCGTATTATTATGCATCAATAGTGTTTTGTATAATATAACTAAAGCACCATTATTTCATGCATAAATTTCAAGGGCACGTATTTTAACAGCAGAGAAGAATATGTCAAGTTCAAATCTGGTGACGCAAACTGGGTGCAGTCGAAATGCTGGAATTCGTTTTGCTAGTAACTCTTGATTTATTTCTCTTGATTCAGTTCACCGTCATAAAATTAATTGCGTGAATTATTTTAACTCTACTAACTCTTCAAACTTATCAGGCTCCATTCAGATGCCACGTGATACCGTATATTCAGTGCTGTGTAAATGGATTACTGTGTTGAAGTATAGAAAGATTCCCATAGTTTTCCCCCTATGCTTTCTTTTCTGTAGTAATCAGAATGGTAATATTTCACGAAACAGTGTCCTTTCCACTGCGAAACACAAAAATAAAATGGGAAAAGTCTGTAAGCTTCTTATATCTTTTATAAAGCAGTGAAATGCTTTATTTCTTTTCATACAGAAGAAAACAAATAACAAGTTAGAAAAAGTGAGATCTGCGTCGAAAGAAATCGTGTAAATCTTTAAAAATATTAATACACATCCGCTTACTCCTTAAAGAATTA